ATAAATGAATTACAGAGAAGTTTATAGTTTGAAAATATTTTCGAAATGTCGATTCTAGCGAAGTCTTGTTTAAAAAGCTGTTCTTTTTTGTTTTCATAATCTTAGGAAATTAATTTTTAATTGTATCATAATTCGGTGGGAGGTTCAGCCATGATTGACCACAACAGTTGATTATATCATTGACGGTTTTGTATAATCCTATAGAGTTTTTGACATTTGATTTACTTCTTTCAGTTTGTTCCAGCATAATTTTGGTAGTCTGTACTCCTCCATTTCCAGTATTCTCATGTAGTATTTCAATGTTAATTTTGTGGCGGTAGTAGTAAGTGAGATTCTTCAAATTTCCAATCATAGTATGTGGCCCGGGATATATCTAGGTAAATCAAGAAAAAAAAATTATAAATGAGGTTTGAAGTTGCTCTATAATTTCCCCATTATCGCAGGCCCACACTGGGACCGCGTAAAAAAATAATTGACTTTATCGAAGATTCAAATAGTTTGAATGCAACTTCTATCGAATCGATTTTTTTCTCTTTTTAGAAAACCAATGGTTGAGTTTAGTGCGGTATATGCCTTTTCTTTGAAACCTAGCGCAGCTTGTCTGGTACTGTGTGTGTTCGTATAGGGGAATCCCAGATATGTTATTCTAGGGGTGACAGTCAACGGAGTGCCTCTCCAGAACCAGCTTTCATTTCTTGCTGGTCTTCCACCATTTCTGAACACCATTATTTTTCACTTTTTTCATTTAAAACTAATTTATTCTTCTTCAGATAAGTTCTAAGTAAATTGATGTTGCTTTGCAAATTGAATTTTTATTCTCCTATTATTGTTATGTCGTCTGCATACATGAGAAGATGAAGGAAGCCGAAGTCTGGAAGATAGAATCCTGTAAGTGAAGAATTATTATAATATTTAATTAGATCATATATATAAGTTATAAATTGTAGAGGTGACAGTGGCTCTCCTTGTAAAACTCCGGAATCATTTTTAACGTTATTTGAGTATTCACCTTTCTATCTAACTGATATTTTTGCTGCATCGTAATAACCTTTTATTATTGATATAAACCTTGGGCTGATTCCTATTTTTTTAAATTTCTTCCCGAGTATTTCGTGAGGAACTGTGTCGAGTTCCCTGGTCAAATTAACAAGGAAAACGTATAGCTTACCTCGTTTCTTTCTTAAAGATAGTTGGATAAGGGTATTCAGGGTAAAAATATGGTCTAGACATGAGCGGTTTATTCGGAAACCTGCTTGATTTTCTCCTATATGATTCTCAATCCAATTGTTGAGTCTGTTTCTTAGAATTGAGGTGAATAATTTGGACATATTGTTGCATAGTGCAATTCCTCTGTAGTTAGATTGGTCATTTCTGTCCCCGTTTTTTAAAATAGGATGTATAATTGAATTCGTCCAAATCTCTGGATTTTTATCTGTTATCATTATCTTATTGAATATAGTTCTTAGTTTTTCTAGAATAGTTATTGGTAATTTCTTTGAAAGTTTATTGGGAATATTATCCGGTCCTGCTGCTTTTCCATCCGCTAAAACTTTTAATTTCGGCTTTGATCTCATCAAGCGTTATTTCTTTATCTAATTCTATATCTTCCCACCTGATCATCAGGTTTGCTTTATGGAAGGGTTCATTGTCGCCTTTATTTAGCAGTTTCTTGTAGAAGATAAACCAGTCTTTTATATCTATATCAGCTGATAGGGATACCTTTTTTTCTAAGAATATATAGAGCGCTCCAGGAAGATTTGGGATCTCTAGCATTTTTCATTTTGTCTATTTTGTCTTTATTAAATTTATCTATTTTTGTTTTTAGTAATTTTAAGTATTCCTTCCTATATTCTATATTTTTTTCCGGTCCTGTTTTTCGTCTGAATTAGTATATTTCTTTAAACTTGATTTAGTTGTGTTTTCATTTGATAGCATTCCCTATCGTTCCAGGGCTTAGATATTGTGTTGCATTTATTCACATTTTGGTAATATTTGATAGTTCCATTGCCTTGAAAAATTTCTCGGTGAAATTTCTCGGTCATTGTATCAATATCTGTAGCGATGTCATATTTCTTCTAGTGCATCCAGATTTCGTAGTAGTTCTTCATTTTGACCAGTCGTATTTTCTGAACGGTATCACGTTTTTTTTTGTGTTGATTGCTTCTGTTTATGATTTGTATTTAGTACTAAGATTATTGGTAGATGGTCAGAATAGAGAAATTATTCTATCCACATATCAGATATATTCCCTATTAGGCTTTGTGTGAACATAAAGTAGTCGTCTTTCAGGCGGAAGCCCTTGGATTGGTTAAGGCACTTGAAAACGCAAACACTTTACCAAATCATCTAACCTTAGGATTCTTCCTGGACAACCTCTCAGTCGTGAAGTCAGTTCTGAACTCTAAGACTGATAATTACCTTATCAACAGAACTCTGTTACTGATTTCGCGGTTGAATCGCAATGGGAACAGATGCACCATACAATGGGTCAAGGGCCACAGTGGGATCGTGGGTAATAAATTGCGGACACGCGCAAAACAGGGTGCTGAGTCTGCTAACTCAAGCTGTTACAAACTCGCTTCTTTGTCGTTTGTGAAATCGGCAATCTACGGCCGGGCGCGTGAAGCATGGGAGAGCAGATTCCTCTCTCTAGCTCTATCTATCCACACCCGCTTTGGCCTTACTCCAATGAGTCTTTTAGACAAAAGGTAAGCGTACATCGTCCCTAGCCAGCACATTGTGGTTGGCCTGCTATCGGGACACACGTGGACGGACAGTTTCGCCCACATGACGATCCTTCCTGCCCTTACTGCGACGCTGACAGGGAAGAAACTCTGTCACACATCGTGCTAGAGTGCATCAGCCTTGATGCCCTTAGATTCCCCCTTCTTTCCACCTGTGCAGAAGAATTGGGGTACACTCCGCGGTCACTCTAAGACTTTATTTTCAACAGGAGCACTTGGCGAGCCTGCCTGTAGTTCCTAAAGGCCTCTGATATACTTAAGCCACGCGTCCGCGCGGAGGATTCCGATCACCTAAGTGACTCGGATTCCTCACCTCATGGTTAACACCGGTCATTAGCAACCGCTCGTAGACGCAACTCTGGCATGTGCCGCTGTTTAAGATCGGTTTCGCGACCTGCCCTGGGAATGTGATCGCCCCTGACGCTGTCTCTGTATCCCAAGGACAAAGGGAAAATGGTTTGGCGATTCGACGGCGCGGGCTGCTCGAAAAATCGACTTACGTAGCGACCCATTTGAGCGCGATATGCAACCTATGGTGTACTTTTGTGGTTGGTTGTCTTAGTACTGGTACCCTCACCAGTAATCTTATCTAAAACCTTTTATATATTTATTTTTACAGAAAGAAAATCTATCTTTTCCCATCAGTTGATGAATCATTCCCGCTTTATCTAATATTCTTATTTAAACAACAGCTGTCTTTCTTTTATCTTCCCTGGCCTGGGGAATCTAACCTTTTTTAACAACTTTGTTTGCGTGCAGCACCTTGGTACTTTGATATAATGCATTGCGGCTTGTCTGTTTGGTACATTATTTTGGGCTTAAAAATCATACACTTTAAGCATTGCGGTATGTCTGCTCTCCACGGTCACCCGTGGGCTCAACACTATTGAACCAGTCTCTTCTTCCCCCTGATCTCCGCGGATCACCATCCTGCCTACCCTGATCCTCCTCTACAACCCGACTCTCCTGGCCTCACCTGGCGATGATCCCCTGGCCACCCATCTCCAGGCATCTCCAACTGTGCTTTATATATATTGCTATATATACAAGTTTGAATTGCTGAATTTCCGGATGAATAGGTTTATGTCGTCGGCATAGGCCAGGACGTTCCCTTAGCCGAGTATCCGCTCTAGACGACGCAGAGGTACTCCTATCACAAGGCTGAACAAGGCGGCACAACCCTGTTTGACTCCGTCACCAGGTGGAAAGGTACGAGAGAGAAATTAACACTTAATTGCAGGCGTGCTACACACTTTTATAGTGTACTTAGAGATATTATGAAAACTGGGAGATTAAAAAATACCTTTTAAACATAAAATCAAACAGAAGTCGAGAGTTAAAACGGCGGAGCACATTTCTCTTGACCAAGACCTTGAGACTGACCGTTCCGCCATCTATTGACACAAATTTAAACTATTATTTATTTTCTGCCTAGACCGGGTTTTCGACAGGCATAAAAGGCTTTTTCAATCACATTTATACATTTATGCCTGGATGAATTTTATCATATGCGCGAAAAAAAACTTAATATACTATATATAAAAAGTACTTACTTTCGTGTTGGATAAATCGATTAAATTGGAACGAGTTTTAGTTTGATTACATTACCCTTGCAAAACGTAACGTTTTTAAAAAGACGACAGTGTCGTCGAGACAAAAGTATTTTAAAATATCTTTGAATATTAAAAAAGTTGAGGGGGAATTATAATAGTCTATATAATTATTGATGAATGTTTTATTGCTCCTGTGCTATTATTTATAACATTAGGTTGTTTTTTAGCACACACACAAAAACACATTTTATTTACCATTATTCTTTGAGAATTAAAAATTTTGCATATAAATAAAATTAATTTTTTAAATATCAATATTAAATAAAATATTATATTAAAAAAATGTCCACGCCGGGAATCGAACCCGGGCCTCCTGGGTGAAAGCCAGGTATCCTAGCGGTTAGACCACGTGGGAGTACGCCAAAAATTTAATACATGACCCATATCAGGTTAATTAAAAATTAATATATTTATCTATAAATTTAAATAATTTAATTAAATTTTTAAAAGAGTGGGCACATATCTAGTATTTTTATAAAGTGATATCACTATTTATCGCTCAAATGTGTACTCTAATTTTTATATATACTTTTATACAAAGCGGCCTGTACATTATACTGTATTTATATATATTTTTAAAAGTACATTTTTTTCTGATAAATAAAATAATAAACACTCAAATTGAAAAACAAATTTTCAAAAATTCCCACGCCAGGAGTCGAACCCTGGCTTCCTGGGTGAAAGCCAGGTATCCTAGCCGTTAGACCACGTGGGATGTTGGCAAAGCAGCCTTTTAGGTTATATCAGGCTGCTTGATAGACTTCCCACGTGTTCTAACGGCGTTAAATATGTATATATATATTATATATATAATAGTAATTTTTTATTTTTGGAAAAAAGAGGAAAAGTAAAATATTAAGAACTACAGATTTTGAATTAATTTTGAGTCAGAACAGCAAGATAATTCTGTATCAAATAGTATAGTTATGAAAATTTTAAGATTTATCATTATTTAAATTTAATATAAACATGTGAGGTTTGTTTTTTTATTTTTTTTTTGTAATAAATATTTAGTTAGAATATATTATAATAAAAAAATAATAATAATAAAAAAGTAACACCAGCAAAGCATCGGCAGTTATGCGTCATAGGTTGGGTGAAAAAAAGGAATAAGCGAAGAGAAAGTTTTAAAGAGAAGAGCAAAGACAGAACCATGATAATAATTTTCCAAATATAAAATAAAGCTAATTAGAGAGAGAGAGAAGTATGTTTTGCTCTATTTTCTCTCTTGTTGAAAGAAAATAGATTTTTGTGATTTTTTTTTTTATAAGCTCATTTTAAAATCAATCTAGTGTAAATGTGGAGGGCACGATATAAGATAGTATATTAAATTAGTGTGTCAGTTAGGAAGGATGAAAACCTTAAAGGTTAGACCAGATGAAAACCATAAAGGTAAGACCAGATGGAAAGAGGATGGTGTGTTGAGAATAAGTTACGATCTGACAACCCGGCGGATTCATCGGGAAAGTGATCATCATCAAATTATTACTGTTTGTTTATCATTGGCTGGCGGAAGTTCCGGCATAGCTGTGATTGTTATAAGTTTAATAATTACCTTGTAAATAGTTAAATAAATAAAACTAAAATATAAATCCTTAAGGTAAGAGTATCTTCTTATTTATAACAAAGCAATACACCATACATGGTGGCAGCTAATTGGTGATAGTGCCCTAAGCCTAATCTAATTATTAGTAAAAACAAAAAGAATTATTTTTGCATAACGAAAAAAAAAAAAAAGAAAAGGAATGCAAAATATAAATCTTCCAGAGCAATTTAAATTTAATAATCCAAATGAATGGCCAAATTGGATTAAAAGATTTGAACGTTTTAGAAAAGCGTCAGAATTAAAATCGAAAAAGGAGGAAGAGCAGGTAAATGTTCTAATTTACATATTAGGTGAAAAAGCCGAAGATGCTCTAATATCATTCAACTGATATAGAAATAAACACAACTATGAAATAGTTTTTAAGAAATTTGAAGAGCACTTTATAGGTAAACGGAATGTCATCTTTGAAAGAGCACAATTTAATCGTAGATATCAGCAGGATGGAGAGGCTGTCGAGGAATACATAAGAGTGCTTCACAAAATGGTGGAAAATTGTAACTATGGATCTCTGAAAGAAGAAATGATTAGAGATAGAATAGTTGTAGGAGTGAAAAATCTGCAACTTTCAGAGAAGTTGCAACTAGAGCCTAACTTGACCTTGGAAAGGGCTATCCAAGCTGCTTGCCAGACAGAATGTGTGAAGCAACAACAGACTATTCTTCGGTCAACAACAACACAGGCTGCCAATGTAGATCGTCTATGAAAAAAAGTTACCACCAAGAAGGTTCAATTCTACATTTGGGAAAAGAGACGCTTCAAAGAAAAGTAAATTTCAGAAGTGGAGCAAGCCTGAAAAATCTGGATGTATAAGAAAGTTAGGACATTTTGCAAAGAGGTGCTACAATAAGACAGTAGGACAAGTCACCCAAGATGATTACTACCATTTTGTTTGTAATATCTATGAGATAAAGTAAAACATGAAGGAAGATGAGTTTCTTTTTTAATAAACGCGAGCGAGCTTTCGGGCCACACGCCCTTAACTGGCTAACAGGCTAAGAGATTCCAAGAGATACAAGCTTATTTATACTATGGTAGGCGAAATTTTAGCATATTCACATTTTTCTTAGAATGTCAGAACACACAAGAAATATTAAAAACAGTGACCCCCGCTCCTTAATCTACCAAAACATGTCTTCCACAGGCCACACATTCAACCTCAGCCAGCCGACCATCCACTACCATCACGTGCTCCAAACCAACACCAAAGATTGGTGTTGGAAGCTATAACCTCTGCCAAGCTGAATAGTTTTAATAGGAAAATAGACATACCAGATATTTATAAAGTGTTCTTATCCTGATGTTTTACTGTCCTCCCTTCATAGTGATATCCCGGGCCCCCCTAATGTGTTAGATTTAGAATTTACCTCATTGTCTTTTCCCTATATTTTCGCATAATTTTGCATATCTTAATTGTAAACATAGTTGTATTTTGTTTCTCCGTGTGACCCGAAAGCTCCCTCGCGTTTATTAAAAAATAAACTTATTTTCCTTCATGTTTTACTTTATTTGATTATCTAAACAGGAAGAGTTCTATCGCTTATTAATATCTATGAGAATGGACAAAACGCAAATGATTGGAAGGTTTATGTAAAAGTAGATAAGATTAAAATGCTTTTTAAAGTGGATACAGGATCGGATATAAATATAATACTTTTACATAAACCTTCCAATCATTTGCGTTTTGTCCATTCTCATAGATATTAATAAGCGATAGAACTCTTCCTGTTTAGATAATCAAATAAAGTAAAACATGAAGGAAAATAAGTTTATTTTTTAATAAACGCGAGGGAGCTTTCGGGCCACACGGAGAAACAAAATACAACTATGTTTACAATTAAGATATGCAAAATTATGCAAAAATATAGGGAAAAGACAATGAGGTAAATTCTAAACCTAATCAAAAGACTTCAGTCAATTGTGAAAAGGAATTCGCTTAATCCTTTTGAAGAATATCCAAAGCTTTTCACAGGACTCGGAACACTCCAAGGGAGCTACACAATTAAATTTAAGGATGAATCACAGCCTCATGCTATATATACTCCCAGAAGAATACCCATTCCACTTTTGAATAGAACAAAAGAACAACTTGATCAAATGGTTGAAAAAGGAGTAATTGAAAAAGTTGAGCGACCAACGGATTGGTGTGCCCCAATGGTCATTGTGCCCAAACCGTCTTCTAATGATCTAAGGATTTGTGTAGATCTGACAGCGCTAAACAAGTTTGTTAAAGAGAACATTATCCAATTCCATCAGTGGAATATACCTTGGCACAAATGGGAGGAGCTAAATTGTTTTCAAGACTGGATGCCAACAGTGGGTTTTGGCAGATACCCCTGTCAGAGGAATCATCTAGCCTTACAACCTCCCTGACCCCATTTGGCAGATACAGATTCAAACGGCTACCCTTCGGAATTTCTTCTACACCTGAGGTATTCCAGAGAAAGATGAGCAATCTACTGGAGAGCCAATCTGGAGTAAATTGTCACATGGACGACATTGTGATTTGGGGAGCTACACAAGAAGAACATGATGAAAGGTTAAGATGCGTCCTTAGGAAGCTTCAAGATCAGGACTGACCTTGAATAAAGAGAAATGCATCTTCTCAGTGAAGGAAATCAAATTTCTTGGTCACCTGATTACAAAAAGAGGAATGCTACCTGATCCAAACAAAGTCCAGGCCATCAGGGAGTTTCCATCACCTTCAAGCATTTCTGAAGTGCGCAGATTCCTGGGAATGGTGAACTTCACAGGTAAATTTATACCGGACCTTTCAACTATTCTCTACCCACTTAATCAACTCCTAGTAAAGAGAAAGATTTGAGATGGGATAGTGCTCATGAGGAAGCATTTGAAAAAGTGAAGAAACTTCTTTCAACTTATCCAACACTAACACCTTTTGACCCCAATCTACCAACTACAGTGTCTGCAGATGCCTCTTCATATGGACTAGGAGCAGTGCTTTTACAAAAATCTGAAGATGGATACCAAAAAGCAGTTGCATATGCCTCCAGGACTATGTCTGAAACAGAAAAGAGATGGGCTCAAATTGAGAAAGAATCTCTAGCAATAGTTTGGGCCAGTGAAAGATTTCAAGACTATCTGATGGGAAATACATTTTCCATTGAAACTGACCATAAACCTCTCGTTCCAATATTTTCAACCAATATTCTAGATGAAATGACACCACGCATACAGCGACTATGACTTCGGATGATGCGCTACTCATATAGCATTCATCACACGCCAGGCAAGGACATTGTTGTTGCTGATGCTTTGTCCAGAAGCCCAATTAAGATATCGCATGAGAAAGATCTGGAGAATGAAATCTGTAGCTTTGTTCAACAGATCACTTCATGTCCTCCATTCAAGGATGAAAATATGAAAGAAATCTGTCAATATCAAAATAAAGAGAGAGAGAGTGTAGAGAAATAAAAGACTTTTGTGAAAAAGGCTGGCCTACAAAGAATGAGCTTTCTGCAGAAGCAAAAGCCTTTTGGTTTCTCAGATATGAAATGTCTGTCATAGATGGTCTTATAATGAGAAATTCCAGGATTTATATTCCTAAGTCCCTCAAATCAAAGGTTCTAAACAGCCTCCATGAAGGTAATCTTGGCATCGAAAAATGTAGAGGCCGTGCCAGATCATCTGTGTGGTGGCCCAGAATCAGTCAAGAAATTGGAGAACTTGTGAGGAACTGCCCAAATTGTATTGAAGAAAGATCTAATCCCCAGCAGCCATTAATTGTTTCTGATTTCCCAAGCAGGCCATCGGAGAAAGTGGGAATCGACCATTTTTACTTAAAGGGCAAATACTATCTTCTAATTGCAGACTATTACTCTAGATTCCCAGAGTTGGCATTGCTGGAGGATCAAACAACACATTCAACAATTATACATTGCAAGTCAATTTTTGCTCGCCATGGAATACCCGAAGAGGTAAGATCAGATAACGGACCACAGTTTGGGTTAGAATTCAAAAAGTTTGCAAAAGAATACGGTTTCCACCACATAACGTCTAGTCCCAGATTTCCTCAAAGCAATGGCTTCATCGAATCGATGGTGAAGAATATCAAAAACCAATTGAAGAAAGGAAGAGATCCATATCTTTAT